AGTCGCACCAGGGCCGGTCGCACCAGGGCCGGTCGCACCAGGGCCGGTCGCACCAGGGCCGGTCTCAGCGGGTTCCGTCTCAGCGGGCTCGGTCTCAGCGGGCTCGGTCTCAGCGGGTTCCGTCTCAGCAGGTTCCGTCTCGGTCGGATTGCTCCCAGCAGGCCCGGTCTCAACAGGACCCGTCACGGTAGGACCACCGATGGGGCCGACCTCAGTGGGAGCCGGGACGGTGATAGTGACGGTCTCAACCTCGCAGGTGCACTGCCCGCCGGCAACGTCGCGAAGCCCGAGACCGACGGGCGTGGCAATGGTGCAGGCGGCCCAGGTCAGGGCAGTAATCATAGAAGCCTTCATCTTGGGTATCTCAAACGCTGAACGTAGAACGTAGAAAGGAATCGAGAAGCAAGCGCAAGCAAATCAACAAAAGAATGTGAAGCTTGGTCGGAACGATCGTCAAGCGAATGACCGAACTGTAGAAAGGAAGCTGCTTTCTTGAATGAGTGACTGAGGAAGAGAAACAGAAGCAGACCACGAACCTCGAGCTCATATTTATATTTCTCGTCTTCCGTCTTTCCGTCCCCTTGCGCTGCTCATTTCCTTCCTCCAAGTCCAGAACCATGAATGCACGATAGGATTAGGAGGTGCGCCCCGTGTCCGCTGCCCAATCGCGAGGGATCCGACTATTCGAGGTTATTTGGCATGGCTAGTCATAGACTGGGCAAGATTGGCAAATTGGCACCGGCCGGAACGTCTCCATGACACAGGGCTTGAGGCCGTCAGCGTCTAGTTCTTTGCCACTGCCAGTCTGCCAGTAGGTAAATCACATCGTCGTTCCTGGACCAGGGACCTATCGGATTGCGCGCTCTGCTGGATCCCTGCTGGGATGCTGTCGATATCATGCAGGCGCTCACTTTTTGCGCCCTGCAGGCTGGCAGCATTTCAATGTGACCGAGTCACCGAGCAGCGTCTGGAACATGGATGAGGGCTTGCGTCCTGCGTCCTGACGACTCACAGGGCAAGCTGCAAGGATCCATCGCCAGCTGCCAGTGTGATTTCAAATGTGGCGGGCAATGGTGCAGGAAGGGCGCAGTAGTTCATGAGAGTCAATCGACAGGTCGTACAAAAGCACAGATCCAAATCTAGCTCGCCTTGGCTTTGTTTTTGGGGATCTGCACTTGTTGCAGAAACTATTGGCAGTGGCGCCCGGTCGATCTGGGGATTGGCCGACCGCAGTGGATCGCTGTTGGCGCGGTTTCTCAGTTTTGCGACAGGTCGGATGTCCGCTGCTACTCGGAGTACCATAGCAAACGCGCACGTCCGGCGTTCCTGTTCTCCGGAGGTCTCTTATCAAGGTGGGTGTTGCTGATTTGTTATTGATGTCTGTAAGATGTCCTATTTTGATATTGCTCCTTTCATCGCAATGAGCTCTGAGTGATCGCAATCGCCGGAATTACTCCGTCGGGTTCCTTACTTCTCTTAGTACGGAGTAATCTATTTCGTATGCAGGGGATAGATTGATCATTGGGCTCTGGCCGAGGCTGAAGTGGGAGGAAGCGAGGTGGGGGAAGTGAGGTGTTTGAGAGAAGCTAGGCGGCTGCGAGATTTAGGCCTGCATGAGCTTCATAATTCAGTCTCAGCCACCTTGTCTGTACTTCGTGCTCACACTCCGTCACTCCGTCACTCACAGATCAGAGTGCAAGGGATCGGGCTTTGGTCGGGGTGGGCGACCTCCCCAGTACCTCGGACCATGCCCGTCGAGCTGAGAGATGTCGCGACACTGCGGGTGGTTGTAGTCCTCTACAGTGCCCATGGGCCACATGGGAATCAAGCAGATCTCGTGGTCACCGCAGCCTCTACAGTCTTTCCAAGTCGTCCAGTCCAGGTACTCCATGAGACCCTGGATCTGGTCAACAATGGAATCGTACTCGGTGTGACACAGTGCCTGGAGCAGGGTCGTGCAGACGCTGCGTGATACCGAGAGCACCGCGTCACCCGCGACAGTTCTGACAGGCATGGATCGTCTAACGAACTGCCTCGAGCAGCGCTCCACTTCGAGCGATGTGTTTCGCTGATCGTAGTCGATGAAGGGTGTGACAATATCCTCGATTTCCTCCTGCAGCTGCTGCAGCGTCGAGGCCTGGCTGGACGCAAGATAGTGCAGACGAGCCCCATAGCGGTCTACCACCATGTCTGCCACGGCTTGCCAGTTTGTAGAGGATTCGCTAGCTTCATGGGTCTGGATCAGTGCGTCCAGGTCTTGTCGTAAAGGCTCCAGCTCGCTTGAGGGAATATGCTCTAGCCGTGGATGGCGAGTGACATTTCCGTCTGACTCCGTGTCCGGAAACAGGTCTAGCTCGTAGGCACCGTCATACGCAGTTACGAAATGGTCGTAGTTCAAAGCCACTCTATCGCCCCCAATTTTCCAGTATCGCGATGCCACGGCTGGGAGCCACATTTGGCCAGCGTGCATGCCGATATCGCCACCGGGCTTTCCCTGCTTGCTCGGTCGTACCCGGGCGACTTGGAGGACCTCAAGACTGGAAAAATCGCACAGGATGATCTCGAATCCGGCTTCCATGCGGAGCATTCCGTCCAGGCGCCCGCTCCACCGGTCATTCACTATCTGGCAGAAGAGCTCCGCGCGCTTTTGTTCATCTCTCATCCCTTCGCCCTCTCCCAGACCATCGCGGAACAAAATCCGGTCCTGGGAGTCCATGGTGCCGTTGTCTGTCTTACCAGCCGACATGCCATCGACGTACAGCAAACGCAGGTCCTTGGCGGCGGCAAACGTGTGCAGGAAACCGTCTTCTGCCTGCGACCGGTCAGGCCGCCCAATGACCTGCTGCGAGTCCTGCGGCTCGTGCTGCAGTGACGGGGGTGGAGGTTGGGGTCCGGGCTTTCCCTCTTCAGGGGGAGGGTGGTGAGGCATGGGGTGAGTGAATACCAGGGCGTGCTCAGCCTCAAAAGCCAGCCATTCAGGGCCCTGGATAGGCTCGGAGCGCCAGTCGCCGTGGTAGAGCTGTGTTCCTTCAGGGACGGTGGCTAGGAAAAACGACATGCCGTTGTGGTTCAGGGAGGAGCCCCATTGGCGCATGGAGGAGTGGATGGCGTTGAAAATGTGGTTTGCATTTGCGGGGAGTGATGATGAGACGGTGGGAGTGATGAAGGTTGATGCTGTCAGGCAGAGCAGGGTGGATGGGGATAGAGGCATGGTGGCCGGATCAGTGATCAGATAAGATCGACGATCTTCAGTAGACTCTGAGTAGAGGAGCTGGCGGCTTCATATAGGCCGAGCGGGCCAGCGCCGCGTCATCGGCGGATGAGCTAGTTTAGTACGCCAACAGCCATACGAGTTTTTTCTATAACATCTTCATTATCAACTCCTGAACCATCAAATATATGTATGTTCCGTTATCGCGACGATGATGTTGGCTGCCGATGATAAGAAAATCATACGCTGCCCCGGAGGTAAGCGCCAGAAAACGAGACATCGGAATTACTACTTCTACGGTGTCTACATTCCAATTCCGACCGGCTGATTTCACTTGACAAGCAAGGTTGTAGGCCTGTAGCAAGTTAAGCAGTTGATCGGAGTATCTCAAGCTTTGCAAGGCGTTCCTAATCATACTAGGAGAAAATGTAATGGAAATATAAATCAAACAACTATGAAGTTAAGTACAATGAAGCCAAATGACATATTTATCTGTAGAACCATGTTCGTATCCAATCACCATACTCCATAGATAGTCCAGCTTGATGCAAAACAATAACGCCAGAAAGGATAAACCAACACTGCTCTTGATAGCAGAATTACGATAGGATTAGCATTTATCCACAGCAGCCGGCTCACGAATGAGGCCAGATTCAGCAGCATCAACAATCGCCTCGTACCAAATGCTCGCCATCTTCCTGTATCCCTCGTCATTCGGATGCGTGTCGTCGACCTTCCCACCCGTCGTATAGTCCTTGGGGTACTTGATCAAGGGATCCTTGCCATTCATCTCGGCAAGGATGATCGACACGCCCTCCTTGCGCATTCTCTTGACGAGGTCGCGGTACTGCGCGTTCACGCTGGGGGTATTCTTTGCAATCTCCTTCTGCCCGGATGGGAGGAGCGTCGAGAGAACGATTAGGGGTTCCTTGCCGTTGCCTGCGGCCTTGAGAAGACCCTCGATCAGCGACCTCATCCGGTCTCCGGCGGTGGAGATCTGGTTGTTCAGCCGGCAGTCGTTGGTCCCGGCGTTGATCAGGACGACGTTGGGCTTGTAGCGGTAGGAGTTCTCGGATGCGGCTTTGACTTGGGCGATTGTGTCGCCGGGGTGTGCTTCGACGTCCTGTTTGGGATATTAGCGGGTTATGTATGTAGGAGGCTATGGGTACGTACATTGTCCTTCATGTCACCGTTCTTTTTGCTCCCAACCATGTCGACATTCCATCCGGCACTTGTCAATTGGTTTCGAAGATGGGCCCGGTAGCCATTTCCCGTTGGCGAGTTCTGTCCCCATGTAATGGATGCACCCAGAGGGAGGATGCGTAGTGGGATGTTGCTAGCGGAGTCAGCCCTGGTAGGAGCAGCTAGCCCACATGTGGTCTGGATCAGAAGCGTGAGGATGTAGATCCATGCAAGTCGAGGTGTCATTGTTGCGGTTTCGTTGCGTTGCAGTTATGGTTTCGGTCTTTATGTCCGGGGAAAGCTGGGGCATGTCCTCTATTTATACCATGGCCAGGGATCTATCAAAGCACACATTGTACCCGTACCCTTGAAAGATGGGATCCTTCACCGATTGTATCCTTCATCCTTCACAGGATTCTTCACCGATCCCATCCAGCCTTCCTCGGGCCCCCTTGATTCTGTCACTTCTCGCGTTTCTCCCATTGTATGCCTGCGAGTATTGAAAACAATGTTGAATGAGGTGAGTTACAGACCTTCGTACCTTGTATAAAAAGAGCTCATCATGCCTTGAATGCCCAGTTGGTTTAATACTGGTAAAAGACCCATCAATGGATGTTTCGTCCCAGAGATCGGCAGTGGCTTAAACAAAGCAGATATCTAGATCAGCTGCAGCGCTCAACACGTGGCTGCGTCTCAAGCAGCACACCTAACTAAGGAGGAAAATTAGTTGCTGATCAACATGAGGCCAAGCAACATGGAGGTTTCTACGAGTGTTTAAAAGCGCAGCCACATCATTGGCTGGACTGAAGCCTGCATGGAAGAATACCAATGCCACGGCAAGAATCTAGACGAGTCAACGCTTAGCGTAGGAATGGTTCTATAGGAATGGTTCTAGTTACCAGGAAAAGGTGAAAGCTTTTAGCAGGAGAAAGGCGTACAACAGTCCTATACGCCTATAGATGACAGATGCAACATGTACAGCAAAGCACCAAACAGCATATGCTCGGCAACGCTGGCCTATCATCGAGGTATCCCCAGGATCAATAGAAAACAAAGGAAGTATTCGATGGCGCTACCAGTTGCTTTGAATTGAGATTCTAAATATATACACGAAACAGCCACCCCAAACAAAAGTCTATAAAGAGGGTCTATAAAGAATGATCAACTACTGCTCTTTGTCCCTCACCATCCCAAACTCCAGACAACCCACATCGGTATTCGACACAAAGCCCCCGCCAAAGGAATCCCCTCCGTAAGGTCACGGTTTACTTGGATGCCAAGCATCCCAGAGACGCAGGTAGCATTCATAGCGAATGCACGCTTGGGATGGCATCCCGACTGGTTCTCAGCCCAGCGCATCCAGGCTCGGACGGGGACCTCGACGTCGGGGATCTTGTATATACGAACGCACTCAGAGTCATCCGGTGAGAATGTTGATGTGGTGCTGGGTGTTTCTGTGCATAGTTCGCCGGTGATCTGGCCGGCTACATCTGGTGTGAAAACTTGGTAGCGCTGCTCCGCATTGATGGTTCGGAAACATAGGGCGTCTGTTTTGTCTTGGGATGAGGAGAGGGTTGGGAAGGGTGGGAGGATCGTGTGGTTTATGGTTGCTGTTGAGGAAGTAGAGGAAGTAGAGGAAGTAGAGGAAGTAGAGGAAGTAGAGGAAGTAGAGGAAG